ATTTATGCACAAATAGGGTGACTACAAATGATTATTATCATCACCACATGAGTTTAATTCAACTATCGGAGTCATTCAGAGCCTCACATCCACTGAAAAAGCTGAAAGTGGGAACAAAAATAAGTATTAATGTGAACTCCTCTAAGACAAATTTTTTTAAGGCTGTTTTATCATCACAGCAGCAGTTTGTGTTCTGTGCTTCCTCCCTCTGTCTATCAATCACCCATTCAGACACTTCACACCCACACACAGTCAGTCTGAACCAAGTGTTCTTGCAGAAGTAGGTCACTCTCCCTCCCACCGACCTCCACACTCCCTCCCATCCTCCTCTTCTACATCCTCTCGCACTTCCCTTTGCCACTTTTTTTTTTTTTAAATAATTGACATTTTACATTTGCACAAAACAGACATAACAGGAAACGGACATTTTCACATTTCACATTTGTGAGGGAGTGCGACACAGGAGAGAGTCGTGATTGGCTGATGCATCTGAGGCGTCTTTAGGGTTTTGATGGAATTAATACATGAAAGTCGCCGCGATTGGTAAAGGAAGACGATAAAGCGGCACACTTCTCCTATTACAGCTTGTACGGTATGTGTGGAAGAAAACATAATCATTCATTTGGAGTGAAATCCAATATTCCCAATCTTTGGGAATATTGGATTTTAGTGCTTTAGTGCTTGTACTGCGTAAGGGTGCAGAATGGCTCCTCTCCACCAAACAAGTGGGAACATACATTCATACTTGCGCCGAGGCTCTGAAGCCAAACAATAAGATTGAAGCTGGGTGGTCCTAAAGTTAAACTTAAAGGTAAACATCTTTTTTAAGACGATGAAGATAAACTGAGGGGCTGCGTAAAGACTTACTATGAGATAAGTAATGATTATTTTGATCTACGCATCATCATTTGTTTCCAGGAATACAAATATGAAGCTGATAAAGCCCCAAAGCTCAATTTTATTTATTTTTATTTATATACTGTGGCGCCAAATCACATCAACGGTTGCCTCGAGGCGATTTACATTGGAAGTTAAAGACCCTACAATAACACAAACCTGTTACACAACTGGAAGTCCTAAAACAGTATTTTAGCCTTCTACCCTTATTGGGAAACGCCTCAGTTACCAGTGAGCTATGAGTGTGGTCCTACCACGACCAACAATCGATGAGAAGACCATTCGTGTTGTTGTGATGTCACAGCCTTGTGACTGTAAAAACAAAAACTTTTAAAACCTATAAAAGTTCTTGTTTTTTCAGGTTTTGGAACAAAAGGAGCAACAGCAATTCAAAAATACCAAATATCTTCTCACCTTGTTGTGGTAGACGCTGCTGTTTTTGGCCACAGCACACTGACGGTCCACCAGGAAGCAGTACCTCCTCCTCTCCTCAGACAGAGCGTTCTTGTAGCCCTCAGCGATGTAGTTATCCAGCTCACTCTGCTTATTACTGATGGCCTCCACATACTAGGAGCAAAAAGAAAGCACATGAAACAAAAACATGGAGGAAAATCTCAATCCAGACACTCGACTGATAATTCAAGTTTCAAGGAAAAAGTAGGACGCCATAAACTGGACTGGAAATATGCAACATCTACTCTGGGGATTAATAAACTGATACACTTTTTAAGCACAAAATCTCTTTCCAGAAATGTCAAATGAGCTTGCAAAGAAAAGCGTCTGGACTTCTTTAAGTTACTTGAAGACGTTTCACCTTCATCCGAGAAGCTTCTTCAGTTCTAAGGTCAAATGGTGGAGAGTCCCAGATATAAACCTAGTGGAAGTTTCCCCCCACAGAGGGACAAAAGGACCCCCTGATGATCCTCTAATCGCCTGAGCCAAGGTGTGGAACTGGGTGTGGGTCACAATCAGCCAGAGTTTCGGGTGAGTTCATTGTGAAACCTGGCCCCACCTTATCATGTGATTTCCTGAGGTCAGATGGCCCAGGATGTGAGTGGGCGTTAAGGCGTCTGGGGAGGGATCTCAAAACTGGATTATAGATGGCAGACAGTTGGTGTCGTAAGCCACGCGCCGTATGCATAGATGCTTCTTTCACTCCTCTTTCAAACCATCTGTCCTCTCTGTCCAAAATGTGAACATTGGCATCCTCGAAAGAGTGACCTTTGACCTTTAGATGCAGATGGACAGCTGAGTCTTGTCCTGTGGAGGTGGCTCTTCTGTGTTGTGCCATGCGCTTGTGAAGTGGCTGTTGACACTCCCACTGGGTTTATATCTGGGACTCTCCACCATTTGACCTTAGAACTGAAGAAGCTTCTCGGATGAAGGTGAAACGTCTTCAAGCAACTTAAAGAAGTCCAGACGCTTTTCTTTGCAAGCTCCTTTCACTACGATGACCTGGATGACTGAGAACCTTCACAGACATCTTTCCAGAAATGTATTTTGACAGAAGTTCAGGGATGCGGTGTCTTGATTATTCTCAAAACCCCCGAAAACTGTTATGTAAAGTGGGTGAATCAACCGTTTAACAATCAAAGCTTTAAATAACTTCAGATAACGGACAGAATTTCGATGGCTCAGGCATCATACATCACAATCGTGACATATAAAAAGCAGACAAATTGGGCTTTCGTGTGCCGCCTTGAAAATTAAATCGAAAATGTCACAGCACATCAGACCTGAAAACCGTGAATTAGACAGAAAGAAGTCAGGCCCCTCAGGCTGTCTGATCACATATCTATTATGTGATCACAGTGACTGGTGCTCTAAATTTCCCGCAGATTAGTTGAAATCCGCTCTTTCCGAGCTATATCGAGCTTTTAAACTTAGTCAACCTCCTTCACCAGCTCAGCCCACTGAGTCCATTTAGTGCTTGAACTACGTAAGGGTGCAGAACCTCTCCACCAAACAAGTGGAGCCACTCATCCACATCCACAATCACCTTGAGGCACACAAAGGCAAAATTAGAATGAACGCAGGCTCGCTTACGTAACTGAAAACATTCAGATTCCCACGGTGTCACATAATAATGTGAAACAACAATCTCTGAGTGCCAGACAGCAAGGAGCTCCTGGATGAGGCGTTAATGGCTCGGTGGTTTGCAGGGAAACTTAGAAGCCTACGCACTGTCATGTGCACCTGGCTGTTTGAACTAGCAGCAGTGCTGCGGATGGCAGACTATTGCTTTAAAAAAAAAAGAAAATAAAGAAAAGAGAGGTGACTTTTAAGCAGCACTTAAATGACCTAACACTGCGCTATAACCACCAACACACATTAAGCAGCACCAGATACCAGAAGCATAATCATATTCCTGCCTCACCATCAACATCACACTTACCTAAAACCTGGGAAACTGAATGTATAAAAAGAAATCATCTGAAGTATTTTATGCAAAGCTGAATTCTTTGTTATCAGGTTGCCCGAAAAGCCTTCAGTTGATCTGGAACGCTGTAGCGAGAGTACCAGAGCGCATATTTCTCCCACATTAGCTTCTCTTTATTGGCTTTCTATTAAATTCTGAATTTAATTTAAAAGCCTTCTGCTCACATGCAAGGCCTTGAATGATCAGGCCTCAGTATATCTTAAAGACCTCATAGTGCTATATTATCCCAACAGAGCACTTTGCTCTCAGACTGCGGGCTGGTTTGGGGTTCTTCGAGTTTCTAACAGTAGAATGGGGGCGGAGCCTTCAGCTCAGACCCGTCTCCTATGGATCCTATGGAAACACCCTCTTCTCTAGATTAGCCTCAAAACGTTCCTTCTGGATAAATCTTATAATTAGGGCAGGATCAGGTCACCCTAAACCATCCCTTAGTTGTGCTGCTATAAGCTCACGTAACCTTGGGAGTTCTCACAGCAACCTGAGCCCCGTTTAGGTATTAATTCACGTCATTACCTGACCCTCGAATACTTTTGTCCATATTTGCGTTTTCACAGCTCTTTAAACTGGTTGACTCCAGTTAAACTGATTTTACACACTGCAGATGTATTTTATTGACATGATATTCATTTTTGTTTTATCTGTGCCAAAAATCCCTGGTGAGCGTCTGGTGTAAAACACATGTGGAGCTACTCTCTGTGGCAACAACCTCGTGACAAAGGGGAACGCTGACTCTTTTCTGACTCTTTAAAAAAGCTTCTTCAGACTTTTTCTGCATATAATTGAATAGAAATAAGAATTCGCTGAACTTATTAAAGAAAATCTACATTTTAAAAGCAAAACTGAACAATATCGTCACAGTAAGCTTGCGTTCATGTAAAGCTTTAGCTCATCCTTTAAATAGTAAGTGCTCCAATTAAAATGTAGCCATAGCGCTCTGCCGGCTGAGAGATTTAATTAAAAAATCATCTGTGGAAATAAATGTGCAGGCACCAAAATAACACCATCACGCAATCTAATGCACAGAGATCAACATTAAAACAGGAAGGCTTTCACTCCCGCTCGTCCTTATTGAGAAAATTGGCCGTGAAGACATTATTGTGAAATAAGAAGTGGTGGATTTTCTATCTACTGATGTTACATTTAGGAGTTAAGTGAGGGGTTTTGCAGAGAGTTGTTCATCATGCATTTAATTGTTTAGGCTTGTAATTCTCCATGGAACCGACTAACTCTAGAAATATTTCTTTTTCCTGCTTTTTAACCAATAACACTCTCATAACCATGCAGTGTTTATGACAGTGTAATACTGTGCCGAACCTTAACTACATATGCTCGTTAGCTTTACAATAATCCTTCACTGGGGGTCATTTACACACTTTATCACTGTGAGTGCTTTAAAACTCTGTCGAGATTATGACTGTAATAAAAGTAGGAATAAATAAGAATATGGTACGATTATCTGATCTATGTCTTCATACAGACGGTCACTGGTCGTCAGGAAGAAGACACCTTCACAGCGATGGGCTGTCTGTGCTGCTGTTGGTGTTTAATGAATCGAATAGACCCCGACTGACAGGTAAGATGTGGCAACAGCTGCAGACAACCAGCAATTAGTCTCATCCTTTCACTCGTCACTACAAAGTGATTACAGTTGGAAGCACAGAGCCCCATTTGTGCCGGAGACTAGGTTGAGTGCAGTCGTGAAAATTATGCATATAAACTATTCCTGTGACTAGGGATGGGTATCGTTTAGGTTTTATCCGACACCGGTGCCAAACCGGTACTTTTGAAACGGTGCCGGTGCTTAAACGGTGCTCAAACCGGTGCTTAAAGAATGGAGAACACAAAATTGGTCCAAAAACCTCTCATGTTTAACTGTTTTTTTGTAAAAAGATAATGTTAGCCTTTTCTGCAGCTATGGGGCATATATGGTATCACTCTTGGCTGGAAGCAGCTTAATCAATGGAAAAAACACAAACTTTGTCCAAAAACCTCTCATGTTTAACTGTTTTCCACTTTTTCTTTGGTCATTTTAGCCTTTTTGTCCAGGGTGAAGGGAGTATCTGCCATCAAACAAGAAGACAGCCGCATGTAGCTATGATGATGTTTGCTAGTTCACCTTACATGCATTAATGTAATAACGTGGTTAGCCTACTCAACGTAAATTACACACGAACAACATTAAGCTACTCACGCAGAGAAGAACGGCTGCTGCTGCATCATCATCATCATCATTTCTGCTACACTAGCAAGGCTCCGGGCCGATAACAGGCACCACACCCGCAGTAGATGTGCTCGGTGTGAGGTCTCGCAGCAAGCTATCAAATACGGCGCATTTTCCGGCTTTAAAAAAAACCGCTATGCGTCGCCAGGTGTTTCATCAGATTTGAGGTGTTACCTCCTTTGACAGTATCACAGTATCAGCTTAAAGCACTTGTTGCAGCTGCTGAGTTTGCATCTTTTGCTGTGAAGTACAGCCAGACTTTTGACACTTCACCTTGGGCATTTTTAATCTGTAGCTCTGCTCTAAAAGAACTTACGTACCTGGACCCGCCTACTATCCTCCGAAACGTAAAATGATTGGCTAGAATCTAAAGTGTATCACAGCTCAGGGAAATAAAGCACCGAAATGTGCGCTGCTTTTCGGTCTGGTTACTACCGTTTATGTCAGAATGGCACCGGATACCGGTACCCATCCCTACCTGCGACATATTTGACAGTTGATATTACAAAGATTTTGAACATCTGAACTATTTAAATCCTACCACACGAAGAGACACAAGCTCGGTTTTCTTTTGCATTTTAATCAAAGTTCAGCCAACTTTTTGTTTGTTCTTCTACGTCTAAGTTTTATGTTAATTATCACCAATTTCAGATTAAAATGAAAACAAAATATTAGTAAAAGAGCATCCGTTACTTTGGAGACAAAGTTAGAGCGGGATGGCTGAGATGGTTTGGGCATTTGCAGAGGAGGGAGGCTGGATATACTGGACAAAAGGTGTTAAAGATGGAAAAGAGGAAGACCTCCGAGAAGACTCATGGATGTAATGAAGAGAGATGATCCACTGTGGCTTAAAAGTTGACAAAAATAAAGCAACTCTTTTGTTAAAAACTGGATACTATGTAAGAT